CAGTGGCACCACAATGCATCGGCCTGCTGATCCAGCGTCTGACCGGGCAAGAGGCCACGCCTCCCTAGCGGCGCCTCCTTGCCCAAGGCGTGCTAGTTGGTGACATGGTGGAGGTGGCCTTGCAGCCTCCAACTCCAGGGCTCAAGCGATCCTCCTGCCTCAGCCTCCCGAGTAGCTGGGACTACAGGCATGCGCCGTCACGCCCGGCTAATTTTTCCTATTTTTAGTAGAGACGGTGATCTCGCTCTTGCTCAGGCTGGTCTCGAGCTCCTGACCTCAACTGATCCTCCTGCCTAGGCCTCCCAGAGTGCTGGGATTACAGGCGTGAGCCACCATGCCCAGCCTGTAGGCTGCTTTTAAAGTCCTTTTCTACTTGTATTTGCGTTGGTATCTTAATTTTTTTTAATTTTATTTTCCTCTTTCCCTGGGTCAGAAGCTCATGTACTTTCAGATCTTTCATTGCCGAACTTGAGGACCTCAGCAGGTGCCGTTCAGCAGCCCAGGGCTGACTCGCCTCTGCTTTCCTGGGGAGCAACAGCACATCTCCCACCTGCCTGCCGGGCTTGGCCAGGGCTCTCCTGTCCCCTTGCTCTTCTTTTCCTGACCCCACTAATACCGTGTTTCCCTGAAAATAAGACAGGGCATTCTATTTATTTTTCCTCAAGAAGACACCCTAGGGCTTATTTTCAGGGGATGTGTTATTTTTTTTAAGTACGGTACAACCATCTACATTGATTCAAATAGAGTGAAGTCGTCCTCTTCTGGAACATCATCATCACTCTCCAAACCCCGAATCCCATCCTGAATTTCTTGCGACTTTATTTCCCTTAGAACCATCGGCCCCCATCTCTCACGTCGAGCACTAGAGCTGTCACGGGGCGGATGAGAAGGGCTGCTCGTGTTCTTTCCCGCTCCGCGACGACACGCACGGGTTGTGCAGATGCGCTGCGCAGCCACGCCCGTCACTGGGGCTGATTTTCAGGGTGGGGCTTCTATGGCGCACGTGCTTAGACATCCTGCTGGGGCTTATTTGATGGGTAGGGCTTATTTTCGGGGAAAATAAGTCATTCTTCGACCCAGTTAACACTCGTTTATTCCCAGGTCTACTGACGGCTTCAGCCCCTGTCCCTTCCTGCCGCTCAAATCTTCCTCCGCCCTGTTGTTCCTTCTTCCCAGCGTGTGCCGTGGAAGTCCCGTCGGTGGCCGTGGTGGCTGGTGACGCTGTGTCCCTCGGTGTGAACACACCCCATGTGCCGCAGTTCTCCAGCGAGAGCCCATGGACACAGATGCGGGGACACGGTGGTGTCCCATATCTCGGCCTCAGCCCCCTCTGTCCCCTCCGGCTGCCGAGGAGCCTGCGCCTCACGTCTCTCGCTTATTCTGAGTTTAATTTGCTTTTCTTCCCTAGTTTAAAGTGCAGACGTAGATAATGATTTCAGGACTTTCTCCTTTGTGAACATACACATTTGACATCATTTTATCCCTCTAAACACGGCTTAGCTGAGTTCCGTGTTGTGACAGTGCTGTTCATTTGTATTAAATTCAAAATATTTGCTTATTTCTCTAATGACTGCTTCTTTGAACCGTGGATTATTTAGAAGTGTGCCGGTTAATTTCCAAAGACGCGGGGCATTTCCAGCTGTCCTTTTCTCATTAACGTCTAGTTTAATTTCATCGTGGTCAGAGAACAGACACTGCACGATTTCAACTCCTTTAACCGTGTTGAGCTTCACTATTTAAATGGTGCAGGGCGGGTCTTTTTTGGCGCATGCTCCATGTGCACTTGAGTAGCAGGTGTATCATTGCAGTATGTTGGTGGGTGCAACTGTTCTATAATGTCAGTGAGGTCAAGTTCATTACTGGTGCTGCTCGGCCCTTCTGTGTCTCTCTGTCTTCTGTCATTTCTCCGAGAAGCTGAAATCCAGTGGTAACTGTGCTCTGTCGGTTCTCCTGTCTGCTCCCCAGCTTTTTGTGGACGTCTTTCCGTTCAACACTCTTGAAAGAGTTGTCAGGTGCTTACACAGGTGGACTTTCATGTTTTCTCGGGCACTGACCCTTTTTCATTACACAAAATTCCTCATCAGCCCTGGTAATATTTGGTGATCTGAAATCCACTTTGTTTCAGATTAATAAGCCTTCCAACTTTATTTGATTACTGTTCCTATGATATATTTTTCCATCTGCCTTAATTTTCCACCTACATGTTACTTATGTTTTTTATACTTACTGTGGGGCTTCTGGTAATGGAATATAGTTGGATCTTGCTTTTGCATCCACTTGGAAATCTCTGTCTTTTGATTTTGGTGTTTAGACAGTTTGCATTTCACATAATTGTTGATAGACTTAAATGTAAAATACCATCTTGCTAGTTCTTCTGTATCCCATCTGTTCCTTTTTCTCCCTTTCCTCTTTCTACTCCTCTTTATGGTTTAGTATTCTTACTTACTGCATTTTCTCTCTTCATTTGGCATACATATTTTCAAACCTAATGGCCTAGGGATTACAGTACACACTGTTAACATGACACACTGACCTCCAGGTCACATGGGGTCACCTCGTCTGTGTGTGTCAGGGCTCGGCAGCGGTGCACGTCCCTGTCCCTAGTGTCCTTGCTCTCATGTCTCCCTTTCACTTCTGCTGAGAATCTCACAAGGCGTGGGCGCTATGCTTCCACGAGACAGTCAATTGTTCTGTAATGCCTTTAATATTTACCTTCTTTTAAAAATAATTTGTGGAGGTCTTCTTTTCTCTGTGTGGATCAAATTTCTCTCTGCTGTCATCCCCTTGGCCTGCAGAAATGTCTTAACATGTCTTGTAATCACATCTGCTGTCCACGCAGCCTCTCAGTTTCTGTTCATCTGAAAGTGTTTATTTCCCTTTCATGTTTGACAGATTCTTTCAGTTTTGTAAGGGGGACAGATTTCTGTTTTAGTATTTTAGAGATGTCTTATGAATTGATAATAATTTTTGATTAGAGGCCTGATCTAATTCCCATCTTGCTGCATCTGCATGTAGTATTCTTTTTTAATCTGGAAGCTTTCAAGATTTCCTTGGTTTTTGGCAGTCTCAGTTTTAATATTATCCAACTTATGGTTCTCCCAACATTTTGGATATGTGGTTTTAGTCATTCCATCATTTTTAGAAAACCTCTCGGATATTACTTCTTCAAGTGTGTCTTCTGCCCTGTTCTTTCTCTCTCTTCTCCAGCTGGGACTCTGATCACATACAAAAGTGAGGGTTTGACATGTCCTAGAGCTCTGTGAGGTTTTGTTTTTGTCTTCCCCACAATCCACCCCCGTGTTTCTCTCTGTGTTTTAATCTGGGCAGTTTCTATTGACCTGTCTTCAAGTTCAAGGCTTCCACATGTGGCTGTATCAAGTGTACTGGTGAGCACACTGAAGGGATTCGTTCTTGATACTGCATTTTGATTTCGACCATATCCACTTGCCCCTTTCTCATAGATTCTGTCTCTCTGCTGAAATTCCCCCTCTGTTTGTATGTGGTGTCCATACTTCACACTTGACCCTTTAGCGTGTTCGTCATTACTATTTGTTTGTGTCTGATAGCTTTGACACCTGGGTCATTTCTGAGTCTGGTTTTGTTGGCTGCTTTGTCTCTTGACAGTGGTGGGTTTTCCTTGCTTTTCTGCATGTCTCATAATTTTCAATTGAATATGCCACATCATGTAGTAAACAAGGGAAAGTGACATAAGCAGGATGTCCCCCTGGGATGGGTGTGTCTCTGTCCCGTCAGGTCATTAGTGGGGGGTGGCAGGTGAAGGTTGACTCAGTCAACTCAGACACTAACCTTGGCTGGGGTTTCTTGTCACTGTGGTTGCCTTCTGTGCACCAAAGACTTCATGTGACACTTGTGGTGAACTGCCCTGCTTGTGCCCAGGCTGGGGGCCGGGAGCCCAGTGGTTTGCCCCATCCTGAGTTTCGGATGCCCCAGCATGCCTGCCCCACACTGGGGGTCTCTACACACTTCTGCCCATTTCCCAGTGGTGGCCTGGTGCTGCTACTGAGCTGTGCTTGGTGGCTGCAGTGGGGGCAGGAGGCTCCCTGCTGTCCTGGTGCAGGGTGGTCTCAGGCAGGACGGTCCCCTGTGAGCCGGGACATGGAGAGGGAGGCTGTCCCAGAGCTGCTGCTCCTGCCGCCTGGGGCAGCCCAGCCTGCTCTGCCTGTGTCACCATCCTGTGGGGGTTGCCGGGACCTGGCCCAGCCTGTTTCTCACCATCCTGCAGGTCGAGGAGTCTTTCTGCTACTTTTTCTCCCACTGCTGGTGGGAGTCTCAGGAGGTGGCTGTGGGGACAGCACCCTCAGGCCACCCCACCACCACTAGGGACCCTCCACTCCGGCTCAGCATCGGGACGAAGGCTTCCTGAGGAGCGGCTACTGTCCCGTGTGTTAGTGTGCACCTGCACGGGAGGTACCTGGTCATGTGACGACACAAAGCACAGACACGCTGACAGGGACGGCTGGTTTATTGGGGCACACGGGCTTTGGTTTCCCTCTGGAGTGAGAGAAGGACCCTGGGGGCCGGGACATCCTGAGGGGTCCCAGGCTCTGGGAGGGCCTGGGTCATCCTGCCACCTTCTCACCCAAGAGTTCAAAGGGGTCGCTGAGCACAGTTTTCATCTGTCCCCAGGGAAGAACCTGGGGCCCACTGAGCACTCGTGCTGGGCAGGGAGCTGGTGTGGCCCGTCTGCACTGGGAGCAGCTGGTCTGGAGACTCTGGGTCAGCAGCAGGAAGGGGAGCTGCAGGGGACCGGCCTGCAGAGCAGGGCAGGGCAGGGGGGCCGGCAGCACCCAGAGGGCTGGCAGGAGGGGGTGACACATAGGGAGGACTGGCAGGAGGGGGTGACACACGGGGAGGACTGGCAGGAGGGGGTGACACACAGGGAGGACTGGCAGGAGGGGGTGACACATAGGGAGGACTGGCCGGAGGGGGCCACGCACACAGTGGGCCTGCAGCTCACGGGCACACACACGGAAGACTGGCATCTCACGGGCACGAGCACGGCAGGCCTGCAGCTCTCGGGCAGGCACACCGAGGACTGGGAGGTCAGGGGCACACTGCAGGTGGCCTGGCAGGGGCTGGGCCTGCAGCCCGGGGAGCAGCTGGTGTGGCACATGCTGGCAGGGGTGGGGCGGGGCTGCAGAGGGGGAGTGGCGTGAGGAGCCCTGTCCCTGGCGGCCTTTATGCCCAGGCCAGCGCCGGGCGAGGCGGAAGTCAGCTGTTGTCTTCCTCGTGCTGCTTCCTCCCCGTGTCCCCCGCGTCCTGTTCTCGCAGGTGAGCTTTCCTGCATGGGCCCCACGTACATAGCTCCGCCCCCAGGCAAGTGTCTTCTCCACGAACAGGACGTGCTGGTTCTACCCTGTGCAGGTCCCTGTCGTGTCTCAGGCGTGACCGTGCACGTGGCTGCACCGGCGCGACTCACAGTTCCCAATCCGGGTTCCTGAGCTCCTGCCTCACAGCCGGGCGTTGCTGGCGTTTCTAGCCACCCTCTTGCTCTCTCCTCCCTGGCCACAAGTTGCCGGGACAGCTGGGGAGCAAAGGAGCGGAAAAGGGAAGGAGGGGCATCCCCGTGGCGCTGCCGTGACCGCCTGTCCGACCCGGCTCCTGCCCTACTCGCCTGGCGGTGCCAACAGCCCCCTCTGCTGAGCTCTGCCCCTGTCTGAGTCAAGCCTGGCCCCTCCCCCATGGGCCACACCTCCACCTGAATGTCAGGGGACATCCTCCTCGTCCCTCCCAAGGAGTCCGACAGGGGCTGTGGTTGTCCCACTTCGAGGGACCCTGTCCCGCCTCTGGGGTCTCCTCGGTGCCCCCTCACCTGGCCTGTAGTGGGTCCAGGGCCCAGGCCTCCCCCCACCAGGAGCTGGCAGGGCTCTCCCCAGGGAAACCCTCCTAAACCCTGCCCTGTCCTTGGACCCCAGCCATCGCGAAGGCTGCAGGGAGGGCGCACTGATGTCTCGGGCTTGTAGCTCCAGTGGCGCTGGGTGGGGGGCGTAGGGTGGTGCAGGGCGGCGCAGGGTGGCAGGACATGTTCCCTCTCAGTCTGGAGGCCAGAGTCCAAGGTCGAAGTGTCAGCAGGGCTGGTCCCTCCCGAGGCTGGGAGGGAGAACCTGTCCTGAGTCCCCACCCCTGGCTCCAGGTGCTGGTCGGCGGTCTCTGGCACCCCTGGCCTGTAGCAGCCTCACCCAGGTGTGCGCGCCCGCATGCCCACACGCCCACGCGCACGCCTGTGTCCTGACCCCCACTCTCACGGGGACGCAGTGCCCACCCGGCTCCGTGTCTACGGGATTACATCGGCAAAGACCCCGTTTCAGAGTAGGAAATAAGGCCGCATTTAGAAGCATCAGGGTCGGGGCTCCAGTGTGTGTTTTCAGAGGGGACACGATTCAACACACAGAGGGGCAGCGCAGAGCCTGCGGCCAGCCCTCGTCTGAGCTCTCGTGTGACGGTGCCCTGGCTGCCCTGGGCTGTGTCCTCTTTCGTGCTGGTCCCTTGGGAGGGAAGGGTCCGCTCTGAGAGACCCTTCGCTGGGGCTCTGTCCCAACCCACGGGCATGAGGAGGGCGGCTGCAGGGCCTGAGGGCGCAGAGGCAGAGCCTGCGGGAGGCCTGCGCTGTCGCCGGGATCGCTGCGTGTGGGCAGAGCTGGCGTGGCCCCGGGGTTCCCGCGTGGGTGCTGGGGCGTCCTCGAGCGTGTAGACTGCCTGGAGGGGCGTCGTGCTCCGCAGAAGGGGGCCGCGGGCACGCAGGGTGCCGGGGCGCTGTTGCAGAACCAAGAAATGCCCTGAGAGGAGACCGGCAGGCGCGGCCTCCTGCGGGTGCCTCACGTCTGGAAACCTCGGTCACCACCATGCTGTTGATGAGCCGCAAAGGGGGTCCCTGAGCTCAGTCGCCTGCGGCACAGAAAGCTCAGTGCCGGAGACCACGAGGGCCGCCGAGGAAGAAGGCGCTCACTGTGGGGGAAGTCGGCGGGCGGTGGAGGCCCGCCCCAAACCCACCTCCCCGACCAGTGACCAGCGGGGCTTTCCTAGAGGCGGAATGAACGACCGACGCACGAAGTCGTGAGCTCCGCTCCACGTTCGGCTGGGGTGCGGGGCACGCAGGCGCAGTGAGAAGTCGCACTGGCGGACGCGTCCAGGATCAGAACCGGCGAGCGAGCCCCTCCCAGGGAGATTTAAGCGGCGTAACCAGCCGGGGTGACCCTGGCAGCCCCTCAGTCCTGCACACAGGCCGGTGGGGAGTGGGTTGCTCAGCGGGTCCTTGGGCAGGAGCCGTGGCGGGGCCGCTTGTCTTATCCTCTCAGCGATCGATCAATCCGGTGGCGTGAGCATCCGCAGTTACCTGGGGGCTGCAGGAGGGTCCCACATTTCTGGGGAAACCACTCGAAAGGGAGCGGATCAGTGAAGCGGAAAGTTTCAAAGTCTGGGCAGTAAACCTCGCTGGCCTGGGGACGGGAGACGTCGGAGAACCGCAGGAAGGCGTTTGGTTTGCAGCCAGTTGCAGAGTCTGGTGCTAATGAGCAGGTGCCCTGCAGAAGGGGCTCTCAGAGCGCCGCCCCGGTGGCCCTTTCCCAGCCTCCCTCGCACGGAACGGCCTCCCCAGGCTGGCTGTGCCGTCCCCTACCCCTGGGCGCGGGAGCCAAGCGCCCCCAGCCGCGCACCCACCTTGCCCCCACCCAGGACCTGCCCGGGCGCCTTCGGCTCCGCCCAGCAGGCAGGAGAGGAAAGTGTCCCTGTTTCCTCGGTGCTTTGCAGACCGTCCCTGACTTGGGGGTTGGGGGTCACAGGCCTGGAGGCCTCAGAGCACTGGCGCGGGGGTCACCCGGTGACCCGGGGGTCACGCACCTCTTTCTTCCACGGTGAGCAGGCTTCGCCCTCTGCCGACCCGGCCTCCCCGAGGTGCTGGCGTCACGGGCTTGCCCGCGTGGGTACCCACGGGTGCACCGACACGCGCCTCCAGCCACCCTGCGCGTCGGCCTGGCGCCACCAGAGCGCATGTGTCTGCACGCCGCCTGGCCGTGCCCGTCCGCGCTGTCCCTGGCTTGCCGGGCAGCTGCCATGGAATGGCTGCGAACGCGCTCACGCACCTGCGCGCCCGCGTTTCGGCTTCCTGGAGCCTTAGGTTGCTGGGTCCACGTGCGGGCAGCCCTGTGCCTTGCGCGTCTTTGGTTAGAGGTGAGGTGGAGCCTCCGCCGGTCCTTTCTAACTCTGCGCCTGAGGAGTCCCAGGCCTCCGTCCACTGATCACGGCGGCTGCATGTTTCTGAATACTTGGGTAAGCGGGTAGTGTGGACACCGCGTCCGTACACTCTGGCAGCTGAGAGACTGAGGAGCCCCTGCAGGTGTGAGTCGCCACTTTCTGTTAAAGGTCCTTGTAAGGTTTTGCTCCGTCCCCTCTTCCCTGGGCTGAGCTGAACTGGGGTGGGGGAGGGGTAAAAGTCCCGCAGCCCCCAGGAGGCGCCGACTGCCCGCTCTGCTGTCCCGTCTGCTCCTAGCTCAGGGACTAAGTGGGGTGCTTGTTGCTGGTCCTGACCCCGCTGGTGTGACTGGTCCTTTCTTGACACTCTAGTGCTAGTGGTCCACTGAGACTGCAGCCTCCTCTTCCCCCACTGTCCCAAGGGTTCCCTCTATGCTCCTCAACCAGCCCTAAGCTCTAGGTAGGAACAGTGATGTCTAAGCGACTCCTGAGCCTGTCCTGGGACCCACAGAACTTGCCAGTTCTTCAGAGCACACAGGGATGGTCCTCAAACTCTTGTGGCTGGGCCAGCTTGAGGGCACCCCTCTGGGTGCCCACCTCTGTCCATGGTCTGCCATCCTGGGTCACATGCTGGGAGCCCAGCCTGGGGCCCGGGGCTCTCAGGGGACAGCAGGGCAGGGGTTCTGCTTCTCCCCAGCTCACCTTCAGCCCGGACAGGCCAGGGACAGGTATGGGCAGGTGCCCGAGCCCCTCGGGGTCTGTGCCTGCTCTGCACCTGTGCCAGCTTGGAGGCCGTCCCTGTGGGCAGGGTGTGGCTTCGCGGTGTAGGGAAGGGAGGTGCAGCCAGGTCCCATGTGCTCTCGGCTCTTGCTGTCACTCATGTGCTTTGACCTTGGAATCTGAGAATACGTGTGGACTGTCTGGCTGCTGTGGGACGGGGGACCCACAGCCCAAATCCGTGGTGGCCGTGGGGGTTCAGGGGAGGAGCAGAAACATACAGAACCCGTAACTCCTGGCACAGATGTTTTATTGATTATGGTAGTAATTGGCCTTTGTCATGTCAGATGCAAACCGTCAGTCCCCAGGGCCTACAGGCACCCCGTTAAGGGGCATCTGGGTCATCTCTTCCTGGGAGTGACGGGGGAGGAGCTGCATGTTCAAGCCCCCTTCAGGCAGCAGCAGCTGTGCAGCCGCCACAGGGCAGGGAAAGCCTCAGCCTGCGAGGACAGGGGACGTGTCCCTCAGCAGTTGGACCCCTGCACCGAGAGGCCACAGCAGACCGGGCGGGGACAGGTGGGGCGGCAGAGGAGGGACACGCAGGAGGCCGGGCGGGGACAGGCGGGGCGGCAGATGAGGGACACGCAGGAGGCTGGGCGGTAGCAGCTGGGCTGGCAGGAGGAGGCGGGGGCACAGCAGGCAGGTCTGCACATGGGGCGGCAGAGGAGGGACACGCAGGAGGAGGGTCTGCAGCAGGGGGAGGGGCAGGGGGAGGAGGTGCAGCAAGCCGGCTGGCAGCTAGACTGCTGGCAGCATGAAGAGGAGGCCCCAGAGCACACGGGCACACAGCACACGGGCTTGCAACACACAGGTTTGCAGCACATGGGCACACAGCAGGACGGCTGGCAGGGGGACAGGGTGCAGCAAGCCGGTTGGCAGCTAGACTGCTGGCAGCACGAAGAGGAGGCCCCAGAGCACACGGGCTCACAGCACACGGGCTTGCAGCACACGGGCACACAGCAGGACGGCTGGCAGGGGGAGGGGGTGCAGCAAGCCGGCTGGCAGCTG